CTTTAAGTATTATTAATTTTACGCTTTACCGTTAGCGAGATTTCTTTAAAAATGACTGCAAAGACTTCACGTAATATACAGAACAGATAGTCCTGTTAATATAATTTAATACTTTACTAATAAACTTATATTTTGGATAATTTACTAGTATATTACTCTTAAGAAATCGTTGTTATACCTTGAAATAGGGTAATTCAAAGAATTTCTTCAAGATTGTTTTTAAAGAGACAGTACAAACGCATCTTACGAATAAGTATCTGCTTAAATTGGATATTCTTTTATAAATTTACATCATTTTTTATTAAATTAATAATTGTTACGGAAAAAAAGCTTTTCTAAAGAATCACAAATTCTTCACATTATCCTAATACATAGGCTATGTTAACATGTTATTTTTTATTAAATTTATAAAATGTAAATTTCATTATCATTACCTAATATACAACAGATTATGTGTTTTAAAAATACTCTAAATATTTCCCATTTATACCGTTTCAAAAGTGTTCCAAAGTTATACTTACGTATTTTATTAAAAGGTGACGTGGCAAATAGAGGGAAAACTTAATGACCGAGCAGTGTCAATAAGTTTTCCCTCCATTTTGCTGGTTGAAGGGTTCGATTGAAAGATTGTTCTGTGATTTTGTTTTGAATTATTTTTTCTGACCGTTTTTATTTCAATCAGTCTTTTTTGTAATTGCAAGCTTAGAAAACAGAAATGATTAAAACTGTTTTTTTTTTTCATTTTTGGCAATGACCATATACTCTTATCAACATCCCCGTCATTGCCACTAGATCAAATACCCCACAACAATATAATAGCACTGTCAATAAATATGCACGTTTCAATTTACAGTTTAAAATAAAATATTTTATTAAGGGTTTAGTGGGTTTTGGAAGCCTAAAAATGAAGAATAGAACTAAAGAAATCAAGAAACGTAAAGTATTTCAACAACTCACTGTATACAAGTTTTAAAACTTACAATTGTTATAAAAAAGTAAATAATAATAAAACATTTATATAAGGAGACATTTATTACTTTCAACACAACTTTTAACATTAATATGAATTCGAAAAAATAAGGCATACAAACGGTATTTTTACTAAAATTACAATTAGGCACTGTTATAATTATGTTCAAGTAGAATTAAAACCAAAAATGCAACGTCACATATCCATATAAAAATCTATATGAATACTATTATGTTAAAAATTAAAACAAGAAGGCAATCGTTCAAGTTCATGGTGAAAAAGGCACTATATTTTATAAGAGAGTATAAAACTGTGTGTATGTTTTGTAACAAGCATATATACATGTGTCTATACGTTTCAACATTGTATAATAATGAATTGTATACATATTTATTTGTGTATACTGTATAATGTGAACAGCTGAAATTATGAATAGAACAGAGACCTTTGTAAGTAATAATCCTTAATCCTTCCTTAATTTGTATTAGTTTATAAACGTTTCTTCCGGGACAATATGAGATTATTCAAAACCACAGCATAGAGAGAAGCACATCCTAGTGCATTTTATCAAATTTATGTTGTAAGTAGTTTATTGGCGACAGCAGAACACTTTGTGGGTATTCTTTTATTAAAACACGGCCTCTATATGTCACCTTTCTGAAGAACTTTAGTGGTAAAATTATTTGTCAAACATGAGTTACATAATAATATAATAGATTTAACATGTTTTTATTCTATTCGACTTGTTCTCACTTCTTTGTGTCTCTTTCTTAATATTCCATTGTTTTTTCTCAAAAATATTCTCTTAAAAAGATTCCGATTCCCGCTTTTTAAGCAAAGCGGGAATCGGAATATACTTTATCCGTTTTTTGTCCATTTGACATATTACTTTAAATCTTTTTTACATATTATTATGTAAAACAAAGATCGTGACACCAGTGACAGATCTTTTTTCACCCTACTGCCAAGGAAGGTTTATGTTTTTCGTGCGTATCTTGTATGCATGTAGTATCTTCCAAACCGCTGCACAAATTTATTTAATTAACATATCGTCAGATTCGTCATGGTAACCCAAGTGTTCTTATACAGGTGACGCAAAAAAAAAAACTAAAATGACGACTTTGAGACGCTACAGTTTAAAGTAAAAAAAAGACGGATACTGCATTTGGGTATCAAATTAAAGAAACCATCATGAGAATTTTAAAATGGTATTTCAGGACTTTATTTTAATTTAAAAAAAATGTTATTAGTACATTACTTTTATATTGTACTTTAGCAGGCGTGTTTTTGTTTTTTTTTTAATTATTACTTGTTTAAACATGGCGGGTAAATTTAGCCGGGAGTACTTATGGTTGGCAGATGCCTATATCCAGCAGTGGACTGCAATAGGCTTTTAAATTAAGATTTGACATTTTATTAATTCTATTCTAAATTTCAGTTGTTCATATGGACGGTTATATATTTAGGCACATTTGACAGGCCATACCGTTAACAAATACGTAATCGAAACCAGTGAATACCGTAAAATCGATAATCGAATTCATCAATAATCGAATTCATCGATTATTTGTTTATAATAAACCTATTACGATTTTTTTATCTTAAATTATTAGTAGATACTTTCTTCGAGAAGAAAGAGGTTAAAGAATCGAGATCTTTGCTTATATAGTATGTGTTGTATAGCTCTATATTATTTATAGTATTAAATATGCGGGTACTAAATAATGTTTATAGTTGTTTTAAATATGTCACTAGAATTAATGTTTGCGATACTTTATGTATGGCACAATATTAGTGACTCTTCTGTGTATCACGTTTAGAAAAAAAAAATTTTTTTACTTGTTTGAATTTACACAACATTTTTGATATGACTAAAAAATGCAATATAAAAAAAAAGATAGTTTTCTTGTTTATGTATTGATAATTTTCTCAGAATGTTTTTATCATTTATAAATGAAAATACACATATATAGGTATAATGTGTGTACCTATCAAATAATTAGATCTTTCTTTGATAGGTTTATATTTTAGTCATATCGTAAAAAGTGTGAATGTGTATTTAACACTTTTTCCAATTAAGAATGAAACTCTTTTAGTATTTAACCCTTTCAAAGCTGACGTATTTCTGCTACGCTCTTAGGATTTTAATTAATTCAATTGCATTTATCCGTGTAGTGACGGATTAGGAATACAGAGTGTCACCACCCATATTCATCCCGTGGGTGTCGTAAGAGCCGACTAAGGGAGTAAACTGTGCAAAACAATAGCACTGCAAAAAGAAGTAAAACGTGAAAAAACCCTATACCAACCCGTCTGGCCAGCGTGGTATAGTAAGCCAAAACATCCATTGTAAGTAGAGGCCTATGTCCAGCAGTGGACTGTTAAGAGCTGTTGATGATGATGATGATGCGTATTTATTTTAAGGTTTTTTACAAACAAAAGTTTATGATAACAGATGAAATGTGACTGCCGCCGTCCATGAACGCCTGCAACTCACTAATCACAAGTATATAGCTAGTCTTTTTGCCTTTGGCCTTTCTATCTATTAATATCTGGGAGTAATAATATATCATAAAACTAAATTTAATGGAAGTTTTTTTCTTTCAAGTTTTGACAATGTTATCCTTCTTCCCTATACAAAAATAGTTTGACAGTAATACGTCACATTGAAAGGATTAATAGAATTGACAGGTCTAGTTTTAACACGCCTCTGCCGTCTCCTTCGAGAATATAGGCGTGTTTGTATGTACAGCTCTAGTTTTGAAGAGTTATTAGTCGATGCAATATTTGAATTAAAAAAATATAATAATTGTAATTAATTGCACTACTAAGGCTGGGACATTTAACAAACGTTCTTTTTGAGGAACTAAATATTTTCTTATTAATATTTTGAGATCAATCACATCTTTTACACTGTACAATGTCCCCTGATTTGGTTTTTTTTTTAGAAACTGTTACTCTTAAACTACTTTTTAATCTGCATTCATTTTCGCATCAAATTTATGGGCCCAAATTGTGTGTTTTTACAGTATAAAATAAATTCTAAAATTAATAAACAAAATTGTGACATTCTGCTTTTATAATTTACATGACAAAATAAACTCCGTAAACTTTTGATGGCACATTCATAAAAAAAACTACCAAATTAACAATATACTTTGATACTTGCAACACTGCCGAGATTATGTCATATGTAAAAGCCGATAACTACAACACTAAAATGGTGGATTCATTTAGGTTGACGAATAAATTAGATTTTATTCATTATTTGCAATATACCCATCAGCTGTAGCTAAATATTGGCAAATAATAAGAAAAAAAGTCAAATACCGCATGACTGACAGAGTTGCAATATCCAAAAAACTTAATTTGGTTGATTTAAATACAATTATTGTATATATATTTGTATACATATATAGAACACATATCCATCACTATCCTATGTCAAATTAAATCATGTAGTTACAGTGTTGTACACATGTACAACACTGTAACTGTAAACATGTATAAACAACTGACATTCGACATATACAAATGAGCCACAAAACATAAAAACCGTTCGTCCTTAAATGTTAAATAAAAATTGCATCATACTATTACTAAACCATAAAATTACTAAAATGTCTTATATACTAAAATTATTTAATATGCATTATTACATAATATCAATATCAAACAAAATTTATGGCGGCGAACATTTTTGTGCAAGACATTACAAAAAAAAAAGCATATTTACACCAATAATATCTCATTACCTTGTCATTAACGTATATTGGCGAGTATATATATTTTAAACCTTAATGTCTTTATAAAATTACGTCTAAATTACATTTCAATAAATTGGACACATGGTTTGAGCTGTACAATTGTATAATGCCAATTGGGGCTTCACAACACAAAACATGAATAAAAAAAAAACAATATTCTGTCATATAAAATAGAAAATGCAACGATTTAAATGATTTTAATAATGAAGTTTAATACCAGATAACCAAAGAACGGTGGGGTTCGTCGATTGCGTGGGACGTGGCTAAGACACGGATGAAATAGCATTGTGAGGGGACCCCATCTGTGTGAGGACTTTATCAAGCCACTGGAGTGGACCATGAAGGTGGATTTCGATCCAGCACGGCGTCGACGTCACATCCTGTCGATGGTACTCTGCGCCCCAACCCTTTACAAACGACATACGAATCGTACACATCTTCGTCAGCTCATAAACTGCTTCAAAGCCATGGTTCACGCTCTGTGACAGCAGCTGTGCAAACTCCCGATTGTTAAAGATCTTTAAAGAGCAACCAGGTGGAATCTTACACACGGTTGAGGGATGGAATCCATGGTGATGGTTGCAGTTGCGACTCTGCACAAATATCGCAGCATCTGACAAGCATTCAGCGTACACCTCCCCTCCAACATAGTACAAATGTACACCTTTTCCTATATGACGCCTGGTGTTCTCAATAGTGGAATTTCTGTTCACGTTACTGAGCTGTCCCAAGCAGAACCTGTCGCTGTTATTAGATGGGTCTGTAAAGCCATCCACCACTACAGAATGAGAATTGCAGTGGAATACCTCCCCTACACGGCAGTTCAACTCATAATAAGCCACAGAAGCCCAATATAGGGGTTCCTGATATGAGACAGGAGCTACTTCTCCCGGAGGTTCTGTATCATCTGAGGGTGGGGAATAAGCTGGTGGTGGCGTATCGGGCAACTCTGAGCTAGCCGAAGGTGGGAACCCTGATCCAGAATAGGACACATTATGGGGCATGGAAGGTTCTGCAGTCCTTTGGAATGGTAGCAGAGAATGTCCTGGAGCAAATTCCGAATGTCTAGGCACTAGCACTGGTGGTAAAACGGGGCTCTCAACACGTTTGTAATGGTAAGGATTGATACACACTTCCTTCTGCTTTGCGCTGAAGGGATACTGGCAGATCTCCAAGGGTTTCAGCTCGTGGTGACTTTGAAGGTCGGGCCAACGCCATACTCGACAGTAAATGACGTGAGGTAGGCCTTTGCGATGAGACACCTGAAAGTTGAAAAATTAATCTAAATTGTTTTCATAGCATTCAACACATCATCTTAGGGCACGTATAAAATCGATATCCGTATCATCACATTAAGACGCAATCAGGCCGCCTGATGCATGCATGCAGCATGATGTCGATTCGACCTGAAATAACATGATCCGGGTCCTCTCAAAGTAGAGCGGGGTCGGGGTTGTTTTTAGTGGCATCACCACATACTCCTGGCTCCTGAGTCCTCGAGGAGCAGGAGATCCGAAGGGATTTTCAACCCCGTCAATAAAAAAAGGCAATTATAAGGCACAAATTACGCTATACGACTTTTGCATAGCTGGATGTAGAAAGTTTAGATTTTTTTGCTTTTTTTTGTTACAACTTCCGCACTAGGAATATATCCTGTGTCGCGGGGTACTTTACAAACATACATTATACGGACACAAAGAACACCCAGACTCAGAACAACAATTTGTGAATCACACAAGGTGTTGTCCCATGTGGGGATCGGACCCACAACACTCAGCGCAGTAGGAATCGGCGAGGAGACCGCCTAAACCACTACGGCGTAGTGACATGGCCATCCATGCAGTCCAGTATTTTACATATAATAAAAATTAGGTGCACCGAGAAAAAGATATATCTTTATAAATATCCCTTTTTTAATAGTAGACTAGATAGCTGAATTCTAAACAGGTACCCTTACTTTTTATCTACGAAAAGAACTAGCAGATCGTATTATAATGCAATAATAACGCAAATATTTGAAGACTGCCTTGTCAATCCTAGCTGCTGCTTTTAAGGTATTTTCCAGCATTGGGCTTCACTCTTCCTGAACTAAAAATCTGTCACCTGTACTTTGTACCGACCTGTAATCTTCCATCAAGTGACCTGGGTATAGTAACACATTTGGACGGTGTGCCAGGACACGACAACGCCCTCTCTAATTCTTCGATAGCGCCTTTCCGCTTCTTTAGCTTCTTCACTAAACTGTCCACTGCCTTTTCTGCCCATTTTTCTTCTTCATCACCCTGGAAATCAAATTGAAAAAATACCTTTTAGAAATTTGATTTCATTTTCATAGCGGGAGAGTAATCACACAATCAATGGTACTGACGGTATCACCGTCGCACCACCCACGTTCGTAGACGAAACCACTAGTGACCAGTCCCAACAACAGCTAAGAAAGAAAAAATCGAGCAGGAACATTTACTCACACACACAATAACTGCACTCACACAATAATATTTTCATCTATTTACATACACAAACATTTTCATCTATATATGTATTATGGTCCCGCACATCGCAGAATATTATTTGCAATTTTTCGTGGTAGTGGAGAGAATTAAATCAATATCAGACCGCCCGTTCAGGGACTATTGTGCCTCAGACAAATAGATTCGATTACTGTGGGAGAGCCATGCTTCGGCACAAATGGGACAACTCGACAGGAATACCACAGCCTCACAGCAAACCGGTGTTAAATAATTTGTTCCTTGCTTTTCACCGCGTGGGTAATTGTTTAGGCCTCCGGTTGAGGTCATAACGATGTAATCCGAAAAGTTCGAAAATCGATCGTTCCATTGTGTGGATCGATTTCTCCGTACAGTAAGTGCTCACGACGAGTACAAATACAGCATCAGAATTTATACATGCACTAATTAAGGAAGGAAAATATTCGTGAGAGACAGTATTATCATAGATTCTAATCACGTGTGAGGTCTCGGCGTTTGCAAGCAGAACCTGTTCTAATGCGTACATTTCTGAAAACTGTTAAAGTACTTACAAACAGCTTATTAAAGAAATGATATTTGCATATTACACAACTAATATGCCTTAGTAATCTATACCAAAAAAAAACACTGCGTCTTGTGATTATGATTACGCTAGCGAAAGGTCTAAATTTAAAAAAGGGGTCGTGGTCTTTGATAAAAGTTTGGCATTTATCTTTGTCCATAACCAAATCCCAGTAGTGATTTATAGCAGGTGAAATAGCAGTGACCTGCATCGATCATATCGTCATATGATTATGATATAAAGGTAGCAGCAATAATTTCCATCACTACTGGGAAGTGGGCAGTATTAAGTTTCACAGTCTTTTTGGTCTATTATTAATAGTTCTAGCTCCTGATGTAGTTGTGGATTAATTATGCATCTACATACATAATAATAATACTTCACATATCTCACACACAGTAATTGTCGGATCCCAGACTAAACAGAGCCTGACAGTGCAAAATATACTTCAATATTTCTAACTACAAATTATTACCAACAGTATTCATCCACAACGGGCAAGAGAGCGAATGTGGGCACCTAAACATCCTGTCCCGGCAGGCAACAGGCAACTGCAATAGCCAACATGGAGATCATTGAAACCCTTACGCCCGCAGGTTGGTCGTTGCAAGAGCAACATGGCAAATTGGGGCTACAACATGCTGACATGACAATGCTGTGGCAGAATTTTGGGCGCACAAAACTCCGCTGTTGATACGACGTAGAAGAAGATAGACTATTTACACCCAGACACAAGAAATGGTCAATCTCATCACATAATTACTTGACCTGGGTGGGAAGCGAACTCACCACCTCCAGCAGACAAGGTAACTAACCAACAGTCCTTCTGGCTCTTGGTGTAATTTATCTACAAAATTAAAAATATTAATCTATACTAATATTATAAAGCTGAAGAGTTTGTTTGTTTGTTTGTTTGTTTGAACGCGCTAATCTCAGGAACTACTGGTCCGATTTGAAAAATTCTTTCAGTGTTAGATAGCTTATTTATCGAGGAAGGCTATAGGCTATATATCATCACGCTAAGACCAATAGGAGCGGAGCACCAATGAAGAATGTTTCAAAAACGGAGAAAATTTATTACTATTGAGAGATGCAGACGAAGTTGCGCGGGTCAGCTAGTTATGAATATCAGCAGTCTGATTACCAGAGTATTACCAAACCATTACTCGTAAATTGTAGAACATAGCACTCGAACATGTAACCACAGAGTCTGTACGGTTTTATTAAGACTATGGCTATAGGCACTGGGCAGAGTCATCTTTAACACAGGTTATCTAATAACCTAGCAAGGAGTACAACACCTCAACCGCTTCAAATATAGCTTTAATACATACTAAAAAAGTTGTTTACGTATCTTGTACTACAATTTTATCACAAATAAAAATCAGATCATTATTAAAGTATTGGTTCCTTGAGGAAAAGAATTGAAGAATGATTTTGAGAATTGAGATTTTGAGGAAAGAATGATTTTTTTTATTTGGTCCGTGTGGTGACGGATTGGTCCGTGTGGTGACGGATTGGTCCGTGTGGTGATGGATTAAGAATACAGAGTGTCATCACCCCTATTCATCCCGTGGGTGTCGTAAGAGCCGACTAAGGGAAAAAACTACGCAGAACTACAGCACTGCAGAGAGAAGGAAAACTTGACACAAACCCTATACCAACCCGTCTGGCCAGCGTGGTATAGTAGGCCAAAACCTCCTTCCTAAGGAGAGGCTTATGTCCAGCAGTGGACTATTAAAAGCTGTTGATGATGATGATGATGATGAGGAGGAAAAGAAGGTTGTCTGTTGAGTATCTTATATTTTTTTATTGTTATTAAAGTATTGAAAGAAACCAATATTTTCAATAGTAAACAACATTCATGATTCATTTATTCTTAGAACTATCTGACTGTAGGTTATGAGTCACAATACTTTTATTTATAACTTACTACTACATAATACATTTATTTGTTTAAAAATACATTTTTATCTTGAACAGGATACGGAGTCAAGAAAGTCAAACATTTCTGAGAATATATCTAAAAAACGTGTGTTGTAACTAGCTGAATTGCCATAAGAGTAGACTCTTTTCATAAATATTACTGTTGGATTAGTGAAAACCTGGCTGCTAAGTCTGAGGGTTTGATTCCCACCCAGGACTTATTAATGTGTGATGAGCACGATTTATTGTTCTGTGTATGGTAATAATTTATCCATCACTAGTGATCCGCCCCGGCTTCGCACGGGTGCAATGTAGATACTACTAATGCTACAAATGAGGTGTCAATGTGGAGTAATTTATTATACTCTTATTATGATAGGACTATACTACAGGATATCTTTACGGCCGCTGCCACCCAGGACGGACGTACAGTTCGACGGTCGTTAGGCCCCGAATTTGAAACCCTTGATATCTTCTAAAATATTTATTGTAATTTTATGCTGTAAAGAGAAATTTTAATCTACATTAAATGCAGAATGTGTCTAACATATTTAATTGGATAAGGATTAATATTGTATTGTTTATAATAGCTTTGTTTACCCCTTTTTTTTGTAATATTTACTAGATAAAAACGGTTACTGTGGATTATTTTGTATTTTGCAATTTAAGAGCACAAAAACATGTTTTTTACAACAAATCTTTGGAATTATCGAATTTTCTCTACTGTACTATTGGTAAATACCGCATTAAAATCCGATTGACAGAGGATATAGTGGAGTTTTAGAGGAAAGGAGAAAATTCTTCAGGTGTGAAAGACATGGTCTGATATATATATAATAAGAAGTAGATACCATAGAGAGTTAGTTACCATAAATGCGGATGTATCTGCAGGGAATAGTTAATATATATGTAAAATAATATAAGGAAAATAAATTAAGTTCATCTGAAGGAACTTAACCCATTCTAGACTAGTCTGTCGATCTAGTGGTTAGTGGTCATGGCTGCCAAACCTAAGATCATAAATTCTCACCCAGGATAATTAATTTTAGTTTATCTATAATATGTATGTATATAATGGGAGAGGCCTATAAAGGTCCAGCAGTGGACTGCTATAGGCTGATGATGATGAGTTAAGTAGTTACGGTACCATTACAATAGTACAGGTTCTGTCTAATTTGACATCAGATGTGAGCCATGTGTGAGATGTAAGGTACAATTATTTTTATTATTATTTGATGACATTTTAAACTTAATAACCATTCACTGTTGTAATATTCTCTGTTTGCATTTGCGGTTTCATTTAGTACTAGTTTTTGCTTGCAGCTCTCCTCGGCTGTGTTAGTTATCGCGTTAAAAATAATTTTTAAAATCAGTTCAGTGGTTTAGGTGTGAAAGTGTAACAAACAAACTTACTTACACATTTATAATACAAGTTAGGATATGAGTGGAACCATGACCATATAATAACAGGCACAAAACATCAGGCAGTTTAGCAGCAAAAGTGATTACATTAACTTCTTTAACTTTAAAATACAAGAGTTAAGTAATTATGCCAAAAAAATACATAAAAATCTATGCAAGGGCAAAGCCTGTTTAAAAGCTCATTAAATGTTTTTTACTTAGTTTACAAACTTGTGCTATAAATAACATTTATGGCCAATTGGATACTTTTTAAGAGCAGTTATGGAATGCTTTTTAAACCTTTTTGTATCCAACTGAAGATTTGGGATATTTTTAACTAACAAAGGAGGTCTTCATATTTTGTTGTATTTTTTTTTATTTGTTAATTTCAGAACTCTGTCATTTATGAGCCAATTTTGAAAATACTACTTCTATTTGAGAAAGTGTATTGTATATTTGGTATCGTTTCAAATTAAAGAAAAATTACCAACCTTAAGGGGGCAAAATAAGGCAATGAAGAACATCATTATCATGATACTTAAGAAGGTGCAGTGAATTCAGTGATAATTTTTTACTCTTAGGCATAGGTATTGTGCAAATAACCGGTAATCTTCAAAATGGACCATTTTTTTTTATTTTTTACTACCAGGTAGCTTTTTATATAAGGAGTAACTTAGGCTATTTTTCTCTCAGAAAAACCCCATAAAATTGTGCCCAGCCCAGGAATCGAACCCACTAAGGCAGCACTTTTCAAATTCCATGGGAACGAAGTCACGGGCACCAGCTAGTAGGCAATATCACATGTAAGCCAAAACAATATATCTAGATATATGCCTATATTTGTCTAAATATAAGAAATGCTTTAATGTGATGTAAGCCTGAACATTTTCTTTTTTTTTTGTCATTCAAATTCAAATTAAAAATCGATTTTGACCATCAATCAATTTGAAAGAAATATTAAAATTAAAAAATAAAGACAAGGATCCACTTGCAATAAGACATAGTGCCTAATGCTATCTCCGTTTATAACATTACGATTTCATACACCTAGCTCTTACTGTTTAAAAGATAATATTTTGTTTATTTTGTAGTTTCAAGCTAATGAAAAATAATGTTTTTTTTATAATTACATTTGATTCAGTTTTAAATGACTTATTATTTTATTAAAAAAACTGATTAAATGTACTTATTTGTGAAATGATGTTACCACAACAAAAAATCCCTAATGGAAAATTGAACTACTGATAAATAATATATAAATAAAATTACTAATATTTCATGTTCATTTATCCGGCAAATTGTGAGACCATATTAGGTTTTAAAATCATCATAAATATAAAAAAAGAAATATCAGTCATAAACTCATGTCACAGTTTAAATTATAAGCATCAAGCGATACCATATAATGGCATTCCCCATGCAACGATTATTTAATTGTTAAAAAAAAATTGTTACTTTTTAAGTATTTAAATTTCCTTTATTACTTCTAACTTTGTTCACTTAGTTGGTGTTTTTTTTCTTTTTATTATGCTTTATGAGGTCTCCTGTAAGTAAAGGTACACACCCACTTAAACCCATTTAAGAAAATTTTTGTTTTTTAATTGTGTATATGTTTCATTGGAGATCCTAAGAAATAAATAAATTATTATGTAGTCTATAAGGTAGTGTAGTATGCTCTAATATTATAAATTTAATCTTTTACTTTTAAGTACATACAAAAAAGTATGAGATGGTGAATGGATAAGAAACAATTTTAAGTTTATTCCTCTCTATCTTGAATAATACTTGACGTATTAACAATCTCCAGATATTATTCCACCTAAATCTTGAAAATAAAAATATTTGTAGTATAGTTTTAATATTCAAACTTTTTGTGTATTGAAACAAGGAAATAATTACAAATAAAGTCGAAAATAGCAACGATTAAACCTCACCTGTTTCCAGCCTAAAAGTTTCTTGACAGCAGGACTCGTAAACGAGAACAAGCTGTTCAAGCTGGACATAGGCCCACTGCTGGACGATTCGCCATCGTCAGTGTCCATGGTTACGGGCGCACTCGTACCGTTTATGAGTCACCGATAACGGGAGCGCGCACCTCCCGCCAATAATCACTACAAAACACCACTCAAACCGCCATCGATCACCACCACTTGGTATTCCCCACGACGTCTAGGAAGCAATTACAATCACCACGAAATAACGTGACAGGCGTCGGTTTAATATCCAATTTAATGTGCACTGTTATAAATTTATCTGGACTCCTTTTAACGGTCAGCAATTGTAATGGGCAGTAAAATTGAGCGAAATAAAATAAAACACTCATCAAAAGACATAGGACAGCTCAGGAGACATTTTGCCTGTGCACAGATAAAATATAGCAATTGTTGGTAGGGTTACCATCAGCATAAGTAGAAACATTGTTTACATGGTAGTTATAATGAAGTGTTGTGAAACGGTAAGGATTCTATTAGTTTCGAATAGGTAATTTAATTTCATTTGAATTTTCAATAATAAGTTTCTGAATATTTCAGTAAATTCATTCAATTAAAAAAAAATCAATTTGTAAAAAGTGATGTGTACTAGGAAGTAACTAAATCACCTCGACGGCTGACCTCAGGCGCCTTACTCTGGAGAGGACCTCCCTGATTCGACACCACTCCTAACTAGCAGGAGGAACTAACTTCATTCGTTTACTTTAATTTTATTTTGTAACTAAAGTAAATTATATTCTTTGGCAATAAACAACATGTTATGTGACCGGTTAATAAATTCAATCGTGATTTCTATTTTTAAATTCTGTAATTTAAATACATAAGTTTTTGCCTGTCTTTCTTAATTTCAACATATTTGAAAGTAATACCTGAATATGCATTATCTACTGCTAAAAAAAACTTCAGTTTTTGTTTAATGCTTAAAGTACAAACAGAAACAAATTACTGTACAGTGGTAATTCGAATTTCGCTTGTTTGATCCAGTCATGCTTATGTTTTAAAGTTTTGTTAAATGAAAGACTGAGATAAATATATATAAATTCATCAAATACAAGCGAGATATAAAAGTTCATCATAGTTCATTCATGTGGTACTTAACTGCAAAAGTGGGGCTCTATTCCAAACTTAGTTTCTGGAACGCTCTGAATATCGCATTTTGTTGAGAATTTTCTCGAATTTGAAGTGTCATTTCCAGTTGTGACTTCTTCATTTTCATTTATTGCTGTTAGTCTTGAGCTTTACAAGCGGGAACAAATTAGCGGAAAAAGAGAAGTTGTGAAAGAATTAAGTTTAAAAAATATTATTCAGTTATTTTAAACTAAGTGTGTCGTTAACTTTATTAGTTGATAAAAGAGAAAAATCATGGAACAGGTAAGAGGTTATACCGATGCTATGTGAATATATTTTTTTGAATAAAGTATCATAATTGGATGTTTGGTGTCCCTACTAGGTGAATCAATTAAAAGAAAAGGGAAATGCGGCCTTATCTGTAGGGCAGTATGAGACTGCCATTTCACATTATACGCAAGCCATAAACTTGGACCCTAACAACCACGTTCTGTATAGCAACCGTTCTGCAGCCTATGCGAAGGCAGAAGACTACGCTTCAGCGCTTGTGGACGCCAACAAAACTGTTGAATTAGCCCCTACGTGGAGTAAAGGCTATTCTCGGAAAGGCTCAGCACTTGCTTTTTTGGGGAAATTTGATGAGGCTATTGCTGTTTACGAGAAGGGTCTAGAACTCGAGCCAGGAAATGCACAATTGGCTGCTGGTCTGGAGGAGGTTAAGAAACAAGCTTCTGAACTTCAACTGAAAACAGAACAGCTGTTTCAAAAGCTTAGGGACAATCCTGCCACAAAAGACTGGTTGAATGATCCGGAATATGTTGAAACTGTAAAGGTGAGTCATTTTAGCCTGTCATTACATGGAAATAAGTGATTTATATTCAATTTCTAATTTGTATATATTTTGCAAATTGACCATAGATTAGTAAATCAAAAAAAAAAATGTAAAACATATTTTGGTTGAAAACTGTGTCAAAATGCTTAGCTGAATATAATTTTACATATTTATGAAGCTGTTTGACTGTAACCTTAGACTTGGAAAATTAGAATGAAAGCCACATGTTTCAGAATTGAACAAATTTTTTTTAGATAAAACTTGTTGAACGTAACATAACAACAATAACACATTTAAATAGAAATTTTGATGATTTCATATTTAGCATTTGATGTTTTCGTGCAATCTGGGGCAGGGTTTTAGTGAAAAACGTTGCAAACTTGGTCACAGGAAGCCAGTAAAGCCCATGCTATTTAATATTTAATCCTCATATTTTCACCAGTGTCAACGATCTCTGCTCTGCTTTTAAGAGTTGTAGCATAATGTGTTATCTATACAAATAAATAAAATTGAAGTGCCTATAACACTGTTATATGCATGATACTGCCGAAAAACCAGTTTAACAATTAGTTTTTTATCTGTTGGCTGCCTGTTTGCTCCGGGTAACCCTCAAAATGGCTGGACTGATTTTGCTAAAATTTTACTCTTTCCTCAGTCTGGGTATTGAACCTCATGGATTGCAGTTGTATACTTTACAACAATACTAAGGCAGCACATTTTCAAATTACATCTGAATGAAATTGCGGGTACCAGCTAGTTGGTAACTTTGCGAATACCTGTTAACCTGCTTTGTTGTTACTCTAGCTCTGTTGTTATGTTTTACCTTGCGTTATTAGTGCTGTTGGTATTCCGAACAAAAAAAAAATTACATTGAAACCAAACCATAAATAAATATATTTGTAGTTCTGATGACACACATCTACTCATACTCATGTAATGAGGAAAATATGAGGTAGATACAGAATTTTGTTAGTTATGACGTTGGGTTCATCAAAATAAAATTGAGTGACCTGTTAAGTTTGTCATGATGAACACAATAGTTTTTCATCATCATCAATCATCAACACTAGTCCACTGCTGGACATAGGCCTCTCCTTAGAAAGGAGGTTTTGTTTTTGTTTTTACTTGATAACAATGATATACAATTATTTAATTTTCTCTAGCAATTTACATTACATGCAAATCATTAGATGGGCCTGTTGGTCTAGTGGTTAGTGACCCTGACTGCTAAACCGGAGGTCGTGGTTTTGATTCTACCCAGGGCAAATATTGTGTGATGAGCACAGTCATTTGTTCTGTGTCTGGGTGTAACTTATCTACAATATGTATCTATTTAAGAAATATATAAGTATGTTTATCAGCAGTCTGGTTACCATAGTACAGGCTCTGTCTAGTTTGTGATCAGACGGCTGTGTGTGAAATGTGTAAAATATATTATTAGAGGTAGTATATAGTGGTTGATATGGCAAAATTTTATAGGGTTTTCTGCAAGGAAAACTACTCTTCTATATAAAAATAAATATAGACAGCTATCTGGTAGTAAAGTATTATTAAAACAGATCCAGCTGTTTTAAAGATTACCCGGAACATTCAGAGAAAAATATTACCCGCTTCACACTTGTTAAAAAGCAACAATAGAATTGCTAACCATGGTTTTCTGTGAGGTCTTGGTAACCGCAACCCAGCCTATTTGAGGTTAAGATTATATGACTTGACTTGACTTGACTGACATATCCATTGATAACGTTACTTTTGACTTTTATGTCTGTGGCTATCGTTTCTCAAGATATTATGTCTATGTTTCATAAACAATGTACATTATAATAAACAATTACTAATTTAGTAATTTATTCTTGTATGATAAGTTTGTAACTTACTGGTCTGTAAACATTTCTGGCCTTTATTTTTATTTAAATTTATTAAAGCCGGTCTTTAGGGAAGCCCAATCCCAGCAGTATGCTAATAGTCCAGAGTCATTATGATCACAAACATCCTATGGATGAAATCAGGATGAGTGTTACAATTCACAATCTTTGAATTAGATGTTTATAGACATTAAATGTTCCTATATTTTTTTATGCATTATTGGATAAACGAGCAGACGGCTCACCTGATTGTGACTACCATCGCCCATTGAAAAGAGGGACCGTAAGTTGTTTGCTCATAACTCGTAACCATTAAATAGCGGGTGATCATAAATCTACATAGACAGATACAATATTAAATCTGCCAAAGATAAAAATATGTGCCTGGTTGACTGCATTAGACTTGCGTTATTTTAGGCCCACTTATTTGACCCATTGTCCCCATAATTAGGCTTTTAATACGACCGAGTCTACGCCTTAAGAGATAAAGGCGTAAGTGTATGTTTTAAATTTACATTGACAAAGCAACCTGTTGTTGTGGTGACTTTGCGTTCGTTCATCAAAAATTTTAATTACATGGAAATAAGACAATAGACAATTTCGAATATTTTAACCAGGCAACCTATTTTATGATGTAAAGAATTTGAATTTCAAATTTAGTGCTGTAGTACCAAAAATATACCCACACTCGTCTGGGGGTTAATGACATCTGCTCAAGAGGGGCTCCCGATCGATAGCCTTTGAAACTTAACATTACGCGCAGATTAGATAAAGGTACTTACGCACTATGAGAATTAAAGTTTTTTCATCTTGTAGTAAGCTAAAAAATACTTGTTGGATAATCTATGAAAGAAGCCTTATTTCAAATTAGGGAGCATCCATAAGTTACGTCATGTGTACTGTCCTTTTCCTGCTCTAAATTACCCCTCAGCAGATTTAAAGTCATTATTATTAGTAATACAGTAATGTATCAATAAATTAATTTGTTGACATTAATGTGTACTCGTAATCTCTCAATCTTGACCTGAGATGTTCAAGTATTCATCATCATCATCAACAGCCTATAATAGTCCACTGCTGGACATAGGCCTCTCCATGGAAAGGAAGTTTCGGCCTATTATACCATGCTGGCCAGACGGGTTGGTACAGAGTTTATTTCAAGTTTTCTTCTCTTTGCAGTGCTGTTTTTCTGCGTAGTTTGCTCCCTTAGTCAGCTCTTACGACACCCACGCGATGAAGAGGGGTGGTAAAATTCCGTATTCGTAATCCGTCACCACACGGATAGTCTTTTTTTTTTCATTCATTTAACACTTAAACGATGTAGGTAAATAACATTTTTGGATTTTGGTACTGTAAACCCACTAGGGTTTATATTAAGTACCGTTAGTTAAAGTATTAGTAAATACATTTGATGAGACTTTACTGGATCCTGTTTTGAGCACAGTAATTTTATTCGAATCATATTAGAATAAAAAAAACGTGGATTATACTTGGTCCGAAACTGGTCAGATATCCAATCAGGCAAAACCGTTTATTCTTTGTAGAAATCTAGTGATACTTAGGGACTCTGTAGTTAATATTGGTTGTAATTAGGACCTTCCAACGATTTCTTATACATATATTTGAGTTAAGAAAATAAGTTACTGGTAATGATCCTAATCTACCAAGGTGACAAAGTAAAATATATCGAAAGTGATAGGTGCAGATTAGGAATTTTGAGTAGACCATGTGCTTTGATGATTATGATATTTATATGTATGTATACCTAGTACTTATTTATCTGTTTTCTTTTTTGCCATTGTAACATTGAACTGTCCCAAATATACACCTGCCAGAAGAAAATATCTGAGGCATTAAGTCTAATATCTTTGCAGGAAGACTCAATAAATAAATTAACCTCTTACCACATCTGTGCTATTTTACTACATCTCCTTGTCATACTATGCCATTAATGTTAAATATTATTCCGTACCTTATTCTTAGAGAAATTTCTTTTTTCAATCCACAGAAAGTAGTCCAGAATCCCTTTGACACAGTAGGACTTCATAGTAAACTACAAGACGAGCGCATCCTCACAACAATCAGCATTATGTTGGGTCTGAACTTCCATACTCCAATGGACGTCGACCCACCAGCTCCAGAACGGAAGCCCGCTGCGGCGCCACCAAAGCCTGCAGAAGAACCACCAAAAGATAAATATGAAGGTTTACCAGAGAATCGAAAACTGGCTCTACAGGAGAAGGACCATGGGAATGAAAGCTATAAGAAAAAAGATTTTGAAAATGCTTTAAAGCATTACCAAAAGGCAATAGATAATGATCCAACAGATATCACATTTTATACAAATATGGCCGCTGTACACTTTGAACAGAAGGAATATGAGAAGTGCATTAAAGAATGCGAGAAGGCTATCGAAATTGGTAGAGAAAATAGGGCAGACTTCAAATTAATAGCCAAGGCCTTCACTAGGATTGGTGAGTTTTTTAGGCTGTACTTTCTGTATTATGAAATTACCAACAGAACCTAGAAAACAATTATTTTTATAGGTTCTGTAAGTCATTTTTTACTAAATTGTTCAACAATCTTACTACGGTTGTTATTAATGTTTACTAGAAACGAATGAAATTTGGTATAGAGATAGATAATAGTCTTACTAGACATTTACTTTTGCACATTACTACAAATATTTGAAACATTTTAATTGACTGCATGGATGGTTATATAGAATAGTGGTTTAAGCGGTCGCCACGCCGCTTCCTACCACACCGAGTGTTGTGGCTTCAAACCCCAAATGGGACGACACATTGTGTGGTATCCACAAATTGTTGTTCTGAGTCTGGGTGTTCTTTGTGTCCGTTTCATGTATGTTTCATGTATGTTTGTAAAGTACCCCGCGACACAGGATATATTCCTAACGCGGGAGTTATCTTTTTAAAAAATAAAATAAATAAATTTACACACACACACAATTACTTTCTGACAGAACTACTTTTAAATAAATGGCTGTGGTATTAGTTTATCAATTTTATAACATTATCAACTTCCTAGCATTATTATTTAGTTACTTTGTCTGCAAGCAAAATTGTATTTTTTTAAATCTATAATTAACAATTTGACCAAAAAATTTATGGCACTGTCAAACACACACCAGCAGAATAATAATAACTTGAAACATCACCTACAGGGCTGTCTGATCCCAAATCAGGCAGTACCTAGTTCTCTGGATCACTGTGATACTGACAAAATGAGGTTTGATTCCCATTGTTCAAACTCAAAATATCTTTATTTCATAAAAAAATTAAAATAATTTGAAATCATCTCTTGTGTAGACTCTAAAGTCAAATTCAAGTAAAAGTTCAAGATTTATGGAGAGAATTTCCCAATAATATTCAGTCAAAATATTAAGTCCTGTCTATTTATTCAGGTAATGCATATAAAAAGATGGAACAATGGAAACTAGCAAAAACTTACTTCGAGAAGTCCATGTCTGAACACCGCACCCCAGAGATCAAGACTTTGCTCAGCGAAGTGGAAAGACGAATAGTCGAGGAGGAGAAGAAGGCCTATGTGGATCCTGTCAAGGCTGAGCAGGAGAAAGAACTTGGCAATGAGTACTTTAAGAAAGGTAAGTGATAGATGCTGATGCTGTAAAAAAAAAACCATGGACACTGATAATAATGTTCTTTTATAATATTAACTTTTAAACTATTAATTTCCGTCACACTATCATATTATGTATGTTTGTTACTTTCTATATGCTCAAACAGCTGAACCAATTTTGATAAAATTTGTTATGGAGGTAGCTGACACCCTGGATTAACACATAGACTACTTTTTATCCCAAAAAGATATAGGGTGGGGTGACCAAAGAATTTAAATATGTTTGCTACTCTTTCAAACTAAACCAGGGGGCGCAGCTAGTATATACAATTTTTAGGTTAACGGGTATTAACACACAAGCCAAATATTAACAACAAACCTTTTATTTGCCTGACGTTTTGACCAGTTTGTACTGGCCATGGTCACTAGGTTCAGCCGTGTAAACATTTATAGTGTCATACAGAATCAGCTGTGATTAGTAAATACTAGTCAGGATAGGATTCTTAAATGCCGGTTGCCGGAGAATATTGCAACTCTTCCTTATCACAGATTTTGTACTTCATTAAAAAATTGGCTAATAGCAGAGTGCTTTTTACTCCATCAACGATTTTTTTTAAAAGTACTCTACTCAGTCAAATCACTTCAGAAATGCATTAGTGTAGTAATTATTTTTATTATGATGTTCGATATTTCAATTGCAATGTAATGTAATTTTATTTTTATTCTATTTCATAATTTTACCTGTACAATTTTAAAAATTTCTCTATCTTAATTAATCTAAATATAGCGAAATGTGTCTTGTGCTTTAAACATTGTAAACCACCTACTGTGACTACCACATTTTCTGCAAATAAATATATTATTATTATTATAATGAGAAACCTACTTTTGCCGGGTTTATATGTGATTTCTACGATTACTAAAATAGTAGAATATTTTGTTCTGACCTTATGACGTCATCTGACGCGGATCCAAGACCCAATCTTAAAGGAAACATTTTATTACAGGTGACTATAGCATGGCAGTCAAGCATTATACTGAAGCCATAAAACGCAACCCGGACGATCCAAAGTTGTATTCCAACCGCGCGGCATGCTACACCAAGTTGGCCGCCTTCGACTTGGGCCTGAAGGACTGCGACCAGTGCTGCAAGCTTGATCCTAAGTTCATCAAAGGGTGGATCAGGAAGGGAAAGATTTTACAGGTATGTGGACATCTTGGCTTAATATTCAGTGTGTACAGGACTTTAATGAATTAGTTAGACGAAGTCCTGAGTCGCAGACGATAATGGGCGGCGATGGTCACTTTCCAACAGGTGACCCGTCTGCTCGTCTGCCCCCTCTAACATAAAATAAAAGTTTCGACCACATTGCACCCAACAATGTCACTGGTGGAGTAGTAGCGTGAACTCAGCGAGGCCACCACCATTTTTCTGAACATATTTAATTGTCTAAACAGGGTATGCAACAACACTCCAAAGCCCTCACCGCATATCAGAAGGCTTTAGAACTGGACCCCAACAACGCTGAGGCGCTGGAAGGTTACCGCGCGTGCTCTACGCAACTACACTCCAATCCTGAGGAGGTAAGATATTTTGTGGTTGTGTAAGGTAGTTCAGTTTCCTGAAGCACCTCAAAGGCTTGCTTATAGGCTGTCTTAAGCGATAAAAAATACTAATAAGATATAACATCCTGCATACTATATAAACATCTAGCCTCAGTTCTGCCGTTCCAATCCAAAAGACTGTAACTCGACTTAGCCTTAACATCGCTCAATCAGTTTCTTTACGTCGGTTTAGTACCCTTTTTTATTTTATTTTTTCCATGCGGAAATCCCCTCGGATTCCACCTGTCGGTGGCATGTCGCACTCGAACCGACTAAAACCGCAGACGACCCCCGGTGTGGGAACCCCATGTTCCCTCTGCTCCCTGGAAGCGAGCGCGCTTCGCAACGCGCTCGCCGCCTCCCCGGCCTGCTTCTGCTAGGGTGACAGATGGCTTCACCTGTCACCCCCAGGCCTGCGCTTATGGAGGACGGAGGTCGTTCTGCGACCTCCGGCGCCTGAGTCGCCTGCGGTACCTGGCCCGTTCCCGGGCCTGGCGGGCCGGGAGAATTCTATACCTCTCCCGGTCTCGCTCCGCCGTCTCCTTCACGAGCATAACTTGCTCGCAGAAGGAGACGGCAGAGTTCCACTCACTCTCGCTCCGCACGATAGCCGCGACCAGGCTATCGAGCGAGAGAACTCCGGTTTAGTACCCCTGATCAACAATTTTGTTATTCTAAAGTGTATTTTAGAAGAGACAATAATCTAAACAATACTGTATTGTATTGAAATTAGGGTTTAAACATGGTAAAAAACTGTAACAAAGCTTTCAAGGTCAAAAGTCGTTATCAAAAGTTACAGTGTTTTGGATTGGCAAGGCAGAGTTGTGACAATGAATAGTTAGTTGGTTTTTAAACTGACTTCATTTATAACCTTATTAGATTTTTTTATTTAAGAGGGTATTCTTATCTTTGTGGTCCTTTGGAGATGGAGGGAGGTGTATTTCCTCCTCATCCATCACCCAATCAATCAAATGAGGAATGAAGAATAGGGTTTATTACCATTCATCATGATATAGGGGTCTGTGAGGAGTATCACCACCCCTATTCATCAAATGGGTGTCGTAAGAGCTGGCTAAGGGATTAAATTACGCAGGACAACAGCACTGCAAAGTGAAGGAAAACTTGACACAAACCCTGTATCAACCTGTCTGACCAGAGTGGTTTAGAAGGTCAAAACTTCCTTTCTAAGGCTTTCCTTAGAAAGGAAGTTTGACCTTCTAGGCCTATGTCCAGCAGTAGATTATTAAAGGCTATTAATGATGATCAATCATTCAATTGACTTATGGTACTCAAACAGTATGGTTTAAAAACAAAAATTGTTTGGTGGCCTCCTTCAGAATGCTCCATTTCATACTTGATTTATTTGATTAGAAATTAGTTTCAACAGAATATGGTAGAATCAGGAGTATTCCTTACTCAGTCTACAATTTTGTGTTAAATATTACAATTTTTATTACTTTACTCAGGTGCGCAAACGTGCCATGTCTGACCCCGAAGTCCAACAAATACTTCGCGACCCAGCGATGCGTTGCATCCTCGAACAGATGCAGCAAGATCCTCAGGCTCTACAGGACCATCTCAAGAACCCAGATATTGCCGCCAAGATCCAAAAGTTGTTAGAATCTGGCCTCATCGCTATTCACTAATCAACGATTGGTTAGGAATATATTAATTAGTACCAGGCCGATCTGAAAAACTACTATTTTAGTAGATTTAACGTTGCTGGCAACCAATAATGCAAAACTAAATAACCAAAAACCAATGTCAAAAGGGTTTAACACAAGTGAATGATTTACCCTGTCCTGGCGTATAATTTTATTATGCTTGTGGCAAAATTTTACAACATACTCCCATGCCCAGTGATTGATGACATAAGTTTTTATAATTGATTGTTACGAACTCGGGGTTAAATTAAGAAGCTTGTGAAAATCATGAGTCAATGTATTGAAAAAGTATGATTGCGTATCACACGATAAACTTAATTAGGATATTTAAAGTCGCCGCTTTTATGCTCAGACTTTCCTCAGTTAATATATTATGCTCGTCTCCAATTTTAGGCTTCTGGGGCATTCCATGTATGCTTTTCAGTAAAGTGATGCGATATGAACTTTTTTGGTTTTAGGTTTTAATATAGCATACCTACTTAATTTGAAGAGTTATCTTTGTGCAGATATGTACTGCCTGAATGATGGAACTTACATTAATAGCACTTTTTGTAATTTATTCAATAAAGAAGTATGTAGGCATACGTTGTCTTATTTATACCTTCCAGAACAAACGTTTTGACAATAATTTCTTTATGCATTAGTATTCTAAAAGTCTTGTTACTACGTTCAAGATTGTACACTATTAAAACACCATGAATCTAATTAGAGTATTTTTTCAAAAGGAATGAACTTACTCGTGCTCGGTCTATCCAGTGGCGGATTTGCAGATGGTTTCAAAAATTTGTATATGACGTGAGGTAATTGTGTGTCAAAATGAAATTAGTGTGTCAATAAACTGCGAACTCAAGTTTCTCATTTGCTAGATTTCATATAAAACGTTTTTCTAGCGAGCTGTAGATTTTTTCAAACCTTGTTTTGAATTTGTTTATACTGTTTGTAAAATGAATTTAATAAAAAAACATACCATTGAGAAGATATATAGAGGTTCTAGTACTTAATGCTTATGCACTAGGGTCTAGTTTAAATCGTTTATACTTACCTTGTAAGCATCTACAACGTCTTGCCAAGTATCATTGATGTACTCTTAGTAATTAATGAGCTACCTATGGGATAATTTACCACGACTGGACCCCTGTTTCATATATAGTCTTATTGCACGAAATTGTAAAGGAAATGCGTAATAAAACCTATTCCAATAATTAATGCATTCATTCAACTGTTCACATGTAAAATTTTATTTCTTTACACTCAATAATTAACGAAATACTATAAAATACTGACAACCTTCGCAATTCGTACATAACCCGACTGAGTTCGGATTGCTACAAAAAAAGGGGCAGTACCGTAAATTTAGGTAACATTCTGATTTTATATTTTAAGATCTTTACGAAGACCTTTATAGATTGGACTATCAGGCGTAGATTTATAAATAAATGAATAGGGTACCTGTAAATGTGAGATCTAGATTCTTACACCACTAACTGTCCGTGTGGCGACGGATTAAGAATACAGTGTCACCACCCCTATTCGTCCCGTGGGTGTCGTAAGAGGCGACTAAGGAAGCAAACTACGCAGGACAACAGCACTGCAGAGAGAAGGAAAACTTGACACAAACCCTATACCAACCCGTCTGGCCAGCGTGGTATAGTAGGCCAAAACCTCCTTTCTAAGGAGAGGCCTATGTCCAGCAGTGGACTAGTAAAGACTGTTGATGATGATGATAACTGAGAAAAGAGCTCGTCTAAGTCACAGAGCACATATACTCCTAGAAGGAACACCGCCTCTAACTCTAAGGCACAAGTCCGGCCGCATATACTGTCCTTATTTCTATGCAGGGTCACTCCAGTATTTCCGAACCGATACAACCTTCAAGAAATGAGCGTACTCCTTTCTCAAAGGCCGGCAACGCGATTTCCATGAGGTGGCCTGCTCGTTTGCCCCCTTTTCAATAAAAAAAGAATCTGAGTGAATCATTACGACAAAATATTTTATTATAAAAATTAACTAACCCCACTGGTAGAAATTTTAATGTATGATGGCAACATTGTGAAATCACAAACGTCATTTGAGTTTGACAATAATTTGGTCATTCATAATTTTTTAATTGTAAATAGTGCTCAATGGAAGGAGCACGCAAATTTTGTGTTAATGTATATTTTACGTAGTAATCAAATTAAGTTGCATTGTGTTTATTTATAACGACTTTATCAGGATTTTTAGAAATGACTAAAGTTAACAATAAGTGAATATATTTGAAGAAGAATCGTTAATTGATTAGGCCGTGAACATTTGTTTTGCTGTCATCCGATTGTAAACACGTAAGTATTTTGTGTAATGTATCTAATTTATCAGTAAATAGATTTGCTTCTCTGCAATAAGTTGTTTGAAGCAAGTTGTTTTAGTGTTGGTAAAGTTTAACTTCATAGATGCTTCTGATAAAATTATGTAAACAAATAGTGTCTCTCGCTCCGATCCGGTTTTTTAATTTATTTAAACACTTTAGAAAAAAATAATACGTCTTCACCAGTTTGAATTTGCAAGCGTAGTTTTTTGTCTTTTAGCCTGTAGGTATAATTTGTTCAGATTAAGCCGCAAGGCTACGTTTATAGCACATATGAAGAACAATAATTATCAGTTTAGCTTAGTTTAAGTTTATTTTTGACGACTTCAAAAATGAGTAGATTCTATATTCCACTGTATGTTTTTTTTTATAAACTTTGTTCACTTGATAGGTATATTAAAACCCAAGTTTCTAAATTTAAAAAATAGTTTTTTTTTCAAAGTTGTCTGTATCATAAATTCTAGTACTGAGTAGTAGTAGTAGTCTCTAATAGATCACTATTAGAGATTATATCATAAGTTTTTTTTTTAAATTGTAATCTTTTGTATGGAAGGATGACATTCTGAATGAAATTATTTTATCTACATGTAAACCAGTGTTGTTTTGAAGTGTGTGCATTTATTTGTTGTTGTACATGTTTTATTTTTGTCTGATGATCTTATAAAGAAATACATATTAAGATAAACAATGTTACAATTTAACAAAGGATTGTAGGTGAGGCAAGATATTTTCAACTGATGTCATTGACACTTTAAAATAAAAGATTTTTGATAAAAATATTTGATGATATTTATATTTTTTTAAATAACTACCAGTTGGATTTGAAAAATTCTTTTTGTATCAGATAGACTATTCATTAAGGAAGCTTATAGGCTATTTAATATTATTACCTACGACAATTACAGGTGTTCTGAAAATAAACACAAAAAAAAATTGTTTAATATTTTCTTTCTATGCTGTTGAAGCTGTGACAGAAATAGTGTACTACTGTTGGCCACTAAATTCCTTTTAGCTGTCAGCAGTCACTTTTAATGCTGGCTGTGCATGTGCACAAGCATAATAAAATTGGGAAATTTGTTTGTAGTGAGATCATTTATATGTTAAGATGACTAGACTAGACTAGATGCTCTAAGAAAACTAGTATAGTAGTACTAATCTCTGTATAAATAAAATACGTTTATTTTGTTTAGATTTTATAAAGAAAAAACAGATATATACGATTACATCATAGCTTGAACTTAATTGATTTAGTATAAACTTAATCTGAGGGCCATTGTTTCAAACATCAAATGTAACAAATTGTATTGGCCATTGATAACTTATCATAATATTGTATCCAAAGAATAATGTCCTCCATAAGCACCCTAGCAGAAGCACATGGGGGTTCCCACACAGGAGGGGGTCACCTACATGCCGTAGATGGCCCAGGTACGTCGGGGTAGCAAGGATTTCCTTTCCAGGATACACCAGCTACTGGTAACCGAGACGTCGTGCGGTTTTTAGTCGGTTCGAGTCCGATGTAGCCACCGGTGGGTACCCGCGGAGATTTCTGCACAGAAAAAAAGAAAGGCAAACAAAGGAGACGTTTTTATTGGCTGTTGACTTATTTCATTAAAAAAAAAACAGTGACACCAAACACGCGCCAGTATGTGAAAACGTCGCAAGCGCTTTCCGCAAGTTTTTTTTTTCTGTGTTTAAAAAAGGACAATAGCCCAAATACAAAGGCTACAAGCTCACGCAAGCCAAGCCAAACACCCCGTTCACACGTTCACCCGTTTATGTTTGTGGACACTTTTCGAGATTTTCCAAGCGTGTTAACGTAGCATAACATAATATTAACTGAAATGGATTCCATTAGGAAACAGTTCGATCCGATCAAAGCATGAAAAAAATGATTTATATTTTAGTTTAGACAGTATGCAAATATACTTAAGATACAGATACTACTGATTAAAAAATAAATGGATGAGTTTTATTTTTATCTGCAATGTAATCTTTTGTTATCTGTCATGGCCCAGATAATAAAATATTGAACTAAACCATTCAATTAGTTCATTCTAGAATAAATGAAAAGCTTTTTAAATACTTCATTTCGAATTTTTAAGGAATTCGAAAGGCTTTAAAAATATTTACACCAGAGAATTCCCGTGGGAGACCGATGCACATATAATGGGCCAGGTTCGACCGGAGTGTTAACGGCCTCAAGTAAGCAATTGTTTGATTTTCTCCGAGTGTGTGACTGGAGCCGAAACCCTCCCCCAACTTCCCCATGATTCTGGGAGGTGCACTCAAAGGGCCGCAATTCCCTTTTAATTCTTTAGTCGCTCGTGTGAGTCTGCTTGTTTGCCACCCTTTTACCGTAATATCACACTAGTACTAAGCTGACTGCACATAAAATCATTCCATATGTTTTGGAAAAATATAATTTATCTATATGTATGTAGTTCCGATCATTGTGGTGACGAATTAAGAACAGTGTCACCACCGCAACTACGCAGGATAACAGCACTGCGAAGAGAAGGAAAATTTAACACAAACCTACCAACTCGTCGTGCCAGCGTGGTATAGTAGGCCAGCATGGTTACGATTAGGCTTGCCAGCTGGCCGGGAAATCCGGGATTGTCCCGGAATTTTGCGT